CGAGCCTTATTACTGGAAGGCACTGGAGCCATGAAAATTCACCAAACAATTGTCCCTCCCTGCAGTGTTCAAGGCCAGGTTGGATGAGGCTTTGAGCAACCTGGTCTAGTGGAAGGTGTCCCTGCCCGTGGTAGCACGGTTGGAATGAGATGATCTTTAAGGTCCCTTCCAACAAACCGGATTCTATGAATTCCGGTCTCTGGAGGTTTGCTAGTCCAAACTCCTGCTCCAAGCAGGGCTGCACTGAGCACTGCTCTCCAGGACAGCCCCCATATGTGGACAGACCAGACCCTGGGAGCAGGTGGGATCAGAGGGAAAGCACTTAAGGGATGAGTTGTTAAAAGCCCTTAGAAAGCTTCTGGTAACCATTTACAAGTGGCGGGCTACAGATGAAAAACTGTCTGAGTCGGTGACGCAGCTGAACAGCATTCCCCCACAGCTCTGCTGCATTAATCACTCTGCTGGCTGACTTATCTCTCTACATCAATTAAAGACACAACATAAATACTGGATTTAAAAGCTGTAGTCATGTTCATTGGTCCATGCGTGATTTATCTGCAAGACACACACAAACACACAGCCAGCCCAGAGAGTCTCTTTCGCAGCCACTGCCAAATGAAAGCCATCTCAACCAGACCCCTGCATCCTGCTAATTCACGAAGTAGAGCGTGGTTTTGTCTTTGGGAGAGTCTCTCACCTGCTTTGGTTGCTGATCGGGAAGAGGGAAAGGCAATTTTGTCCTTCTCCCTCATGTCTCTGCTGTCAGGTGCAGACCCACTGAGCTCCTCTCCTGCCCTTCCTCCCTCAGCCAGGGAGAGGCGATGGTCCAGCCCCTGGAAGGTGAGCAACCAGCAGTGCTTCAGAGCAGGATGGGTCCCTCCAGGACCTCTGTCTGCATCTTGAGAGGGGGGCTGCAAGGAGCCATTGGCCCCATCCTGCTCCCCTCCTTGCATCCCCCTCTCAACACGCAGGCAGAGGCTTTGCCTGAGTGATGGTTGCATGCTGCAGTGAGGAGGATGACAAGGAAGGATGACACCTCCCTGCATCACTGATGCAAAGGCTGGCTTGCACACACACACACACGGTGGTCTGCCAGTAACTGCTGCTCGAATTGAGCACCCCCAGAAAGCTGCAGGCTGCTCTGCTGAGACCAAGTTCAGGTGCATGGTGGGTCCCAGAGGAGGGCTGGAAACCAGCAGAGTATCCTTACATATTGCAACAGGAGCTCCTGAGTCGTTGAGGTCAAGCACTGATCTCTGCTAAAGGCAAACATTTCAGCAAAGAAAGGCAGGGTACTGGGTACCATGCAAAGCTATCTGGCCAGACTCTCAGTGGTGCCACCCAAGAAGATGCACTGCTGAGACCTCCAGAGAACCTGCCCCCACACTTAACAATAGCATTAGGGGGAAAAAAAAGCAAATGAGAGTGCTGCTTAGTAGATGATCCTATTCCCAAGGGAGTCCAGGAGCCTTAGGCATTCACAACAGGATCACCTTTTTCTCTCGGCCTCCAAAATGTACTTTTTCACATGGGTGCCCAGGATGCCTAGAATTTGTAAAGCAATGGAGCAAAATGGTGTTAATTAAAACTTGAGCAGAACCTGACAAATTCTCAGTAAACTAATCTGCACGCCTCAGCAGTCTCACCAAGAGGGCTCCAAGCTCAACAAATGTTTAATGACTAACAATTGCAGTGAAAAACTGCATTAGCCAAGCCCAGATGAGACTTTAAAACTAGACCCTAATCCATTTACAAGTGTACGCAGAAATAGAGACTAAATAATGAAAAATATTAAAAAAATCATCATATTTGCAGTTAACTTTTTGATTTTTCCTATTGCTTCAAATCATCTCCTCTGCAATGACTTTGAAGAGGAGTTATCCAGTTTCTGTGTCAAAGCTGGGAAATGCATCTTACAGGAATAATTTCTTTTTGAGCTCAGCAATTTAACTGCAGTCTACAGCAACCAGCATATTTTAAAAAACGGGAAAAAAAAGTTAAATGTCACTTCTTTGCCTTTTAAAGCACTGCACTCCATAATCACAAGAGGTTTGCTGGGCATGTTCCAGCCTGCCTTCAAAATGCTCATCTAGACAACTCTGCCCTGACAGCCAAGCAGGGCCCATTTACAAATCTGCACATTTTTTTTGTTTCTGCTGCATGCTTCCTACTGCCGTTATCTAAGACAGGACAAGTTTTCTTCTCAAATGTGCATTCAGCATTCCCTGAATGAATTTCTTCTTCTCTCTCTTCTGTTTGTTTGTTCTAAACCACCAGAGCATGATGAACAGCTGCATGGATCTCCTGGCTTTGTTTCCCCTCCATGAGCTCGTCATCTATCACACTTGATTAACCCAAACAATCCCTCCCAGTGAGCACTACCATGCACCTGTCTACACTGAGTCTCCTAACACAGCATGCTACACCACATCACTTTGGCTCCAGCAGCAGAAGGCATCTCTCTTATAGAACAGAATCACAGAATCATTATGGTTGGAAGAGACCTCAAAGATCATCAAGTCCAACTGTATACCCGATGCCACCATGCCCGCTAAACCCACTAAACTATGTCTTGAAGCACCACATCTAAACATTTTTTGAACACCTCCAGGGATGGTGACTCCACCACCTCCCTGGGGGAGACCATTCCAGTGCCTAACGACTCTTACCATGAAGAAGTTCTTCCTAATATCCAACCTGAACCTCCCCTGGCACAACTTGAGACCGTTTCCTTTTCTTCAGGAAGAGGACTGAACTTTTGCTCCACTGTAGTAACTAAAGCCCCAGTGCCTGGGAAGTGCTGACAGTCTCCATTCAGGACTCTCTAGTTTTTAGCCACGCTGCCAGGGTTAGGGGCCAACCTCCTGACTTCCAGCATGGAGCGGCTACTCTCAGGGGCAGATGCCAGATGTATGCATGTCCCAACATCATACATGGAAACAGTTCCATCTGGTTTTGCTGCTGGGCTGCGACTGCAAGGATCGATTTGCTCCAACACCTCCTCGTATCTGAGAGCGCAGTGTCTTCATTACAGCGCAACACCAGGAAAGCTATTGCAAGGTGGTCCTCAGTGGGGGAGGCAAATCATGCGCTGCCGGTTAAGGTCCTTCTCTCTTTGATCGCTCCCTGTCCTGCCCACTGAACTGGCAGTTCAATAAGCTAGATTAATTGACCTGGACCCTTCGGGAAATCTGGTAGAGCACAAATCCACTCAGGTGGTAATTATTTTGATGTGTGGTGCTTTGACTACTTAGGCTGCAAACACCAGCGCATTTCTGAACAGTCCTTGCATTGATCTTGACGTTTCTTTATCTATTAAGAATTACATCCATCAGGAAGGCTGCCCTGTGCCAGGCACAACAAAAATAACAGCAACAAACAATTTTCAACTGGCCCTCAACATTACCTCCCAAGGTGCTCTGCAGGAAAGGACAGTTTGGTTGTACTGCTCCGCATAGGGGAAGGGCGAGGCAAAAACGGAGAGACCTATCTGAGCTCACCCAGCGGGCCAGTATCAAACCTGGGACTAAAACCCAGGGTGTTAAGTAACAGGTGAGCCAGTGCTCTCTGCAGAGCCAGGATGCCGCTCAAGCAAGAGGGGCTGGGAAGCAGGAAAATTATTTCTACATCATCTTTCTGCTCCCTGTGCCTGAAGACTACTGGCCACCCCAAGGGTCTTTGACACAAACAAGGGGCTTTCAATAATGGAAAGCTTTACCCACGGTGGTCTCTCCCTGTCCTGTGCTCCCCTCTGAAAGCCTGGTGCAGGGTATGTGGAAGCTGCAAGACGGGTTGGTTCCCTGTGGGTGGAGGGTAGGATCTGCCAAAGTGGAGGCTGCCTTGTACTGGCCTCCAAGCATGGAGTAGCCAGGACGGCATCAGACCCTGGCCTGCAGTGAGCAGACATCTGTCCCCTTCTCCGGTCTGCACCAGCCTCTTCCATCTATATGTCAGCTAAAGCAGGAAAATGGAGAGATGAGGAGAATCCCTTCCTGAAGAGAAAAGGCAAAGTGCTTTGTCACTAGCAGAGAAATTGCAAACACCTATCTGTGTACACCCACAAGGAAACTCCTGGAAGGGGGAGCATCAGGGCACAATATATCATAAGGCTCTACATAGCAGCTAAGTGAGAGCGTATAGTTAAAAACTATGCAGAGGCCCTTTGTTTTTAAAATACAGTGCTAACGGCTGACATCTTCAGCAGCCTCCTCTGCAAATAAATTTAAAGCCCAGGTAGTCATTCTGACTGGGTAATCCCTAATCTCCCTGACCGCAGAGACAGCACAGGTTTGGATACCTCACAGCCTGCTAATTCAGGAGAAGACTCCTCGCTTGGAAAGAAACAAACAAATTATTCCAATGCTGTCATCCCAGTGTTGTCAGAGGTTTCCAGGTTTCATTCCTTCACGCTCGTGGGTCCAGGGTCAATGCAATAACGATAAGCAACTATATACTGTAGCACCCACTGCTAAATACAAGTACCAACATGCTCTGCATTGTCAGGAAACCGGTGTTCCCAGCACCCTAGGCTCTACCCAGCCTTCTGCAGCTGCCTGTTTGCACAGCTTTTCTCACAGCTACAGCTTGCATTCACAGCACTGCAGCGTTTGTCCAGTTACTTTTCCCACCCACCACATAAATAAAGTGACAAGTGACTTGAGAGATGAAAGCCACGTGCCGATGGGAGGAGATAAATGGGGAAGAGACAGAATATATGTCACAGCGCTCTACCCCTCCCCCAGCTCCTTTAGAAACAGAACAACACAAAAAAGTCCTGATGCTTCAATTGCTAAATGATAAATTAACAAAGCAAAGCAAAGCAGGAGCAAAGACATCTCCCACAACCTGCACAGAAACAGCAAAATATACAATAGAAAATGTCACTAACACCCCATTCAGGCAGATGCACTTATTTTTTGTGAATGACAGGTTATTAAATGAAAAAATTTTGACCACCGGTACTTTGCTGCATGGTTGTTCCCCTAGTTGTCATTTCCACCCTAAGTGACCTTCTGCTTAATGCTGGGTGTTTCTGGCCTGTAGTCCTTTCTCTCCGAGACATTGCGTTTCACCTTGGCACTAACTGGAGACTCCTGATTCAATGAGGGACTCGAGTGGGATTTCTTCAGTCCGGGCGCATCGTTCTCTCCTCCGCTCAGCAGCTCCTTCACCCCTTCTTTCAGGAGGCCAACGTAAATCTCATAGCGATTTTTCTGGGTAATGAAAAGAAAGGCCTGAATGAGTCTCGAAGAAATTCCGCAGAAGCACTTGAGAGACCGTCTGGTTAACTTAATGGTTTCTGCTGGCCTTGAAAGCCAGGAGCCTAATATGGATGCAAACAATGGTGTGTGATGCGGACATGAACAATGGTAGATAATGTAAATTACAATGTACAAAAAGGATTTCAGGCAGGCTGAACCCAGGGGTGCTGTGCAATTAGAAGCACTCAGTTCTCCAGCACACAAATCCCGGTGCTCTGCTGAAGGGTGCCTCCCAGCTACTTGGAGTGCATGGTGATTTCCGAGTAACACTACCAAGCAAGAGCTTGCTGACTTTAGTCACACTGAGTCATATTCTGTGCTTACACATATTGAGATGTTATATGCCCCACGCAGGCATGGAGATAAAGTGTGGCTAAGGGAGAACAAAAATCCTGCTCTGGTCGGCTACAGCACACCCCTACACCCCTCCACTCCCGCCAGCAAGTCCTGCTTTCCTTGCTTCAGCCCCAGGGGAAGAAACCAAAGCAGGGTCCTGCTAAGCTCAGACTGTACCAGCTTGCCCACCACTGAGCCCATAAGAGGATGCCCTGCAAGGCCAGACCTTAACAAAAAGGAGCAGATGAGAGGAGTATGACAGCAGCCTGGCATCTTCCCCTGACAGGGCCATTCATGGTCAATGATGAAGGTTGCTCTCTGTCCAGCCACTTGTATTTTTCAACTGGAAAAAGTTCACTTCACTGTGTCCCATACCCACTTGTTCTGTTCCTTGTCTGGAGCAGAGCTTTCCCTCTCCAATGCAAAGATTTCACTCTGTGTCACAATAACGTCCTTCTGCACAGAACACCTCAGCAACCAAGAAAATGAGGATACATTAACAGAAGATCCCTGCAGGGCCTCAAAATCAGAAGCTGGGGCAGGAGGTCCTGAGAACAGAGCAACCCACCTCCCTGGATTTCTATCTGACCCTGACGTATCCACTAAAGATGTGGTGCAGGCATTGTAATTAAGCTGATCTCAGTGGGCTGGGGGGCAGGGAAGGAGGACGTAAACATCCATACGGATTGTTAATTTATATTTCAAAGTGGCAAAACAGCTGCCAATCTATTATGTGCCTGAAAGAGGAAAAAGCATGTAAGAAAAATTCTTTCAATTTATAATAAAATAATAAAATTCTGGTAATAACACTTATTCGAGGGCAGGAAGTCAAAAAGCTTGGTAACTGCTCTGAAGTGTGGAATATGAAGGGGAAAAAAAAAAGGAGTGAATGTGACTGGGTTTCCAAAGAGTCCTTTGAATAAACAAAAGCTTGTAGAGAAGGATCATAGAAGAATCCACCTAAAAAATAAATTAAAAAGCCTTCTTATCAATTCCATATCTGGGGCTCCAGCTCCACAATGCGAGAGACAAACACATGAAGCAGGTAAGATGTGTCATTCAATAAAAAAGGAAATGGAGAAACAACAAGAAGGACCCTGATGATGATGCATTGGGCTGACGAATGATTCATCACATAATGAATGGGACACCTCTGCAACAGAAAAGGCAAGCCAGTGCTCTAAGCCTGAGATCAGTGTAATATTCATCAAGGGAGAGAGAGACTTTACTGCCATATGGACTTCTGCTTTTTGTTGGTCCAGTAAACACGACCAGGGTCACAAGACCCAGCGATCAGAATGGAAATCCAGGACAAGTTTCTGCCCTGCATGTCTGCCAGTGGCCATTTTGCCCTGGACTTTGTGGGCAATGATTTCTATCACAATTAAGCAATGCATTTGGGAGTTTCTGTTTTGATTTCAGCTGCAACAAACTGGCTCTTGTAGTGATCTGACATTTGAAGCTAGGTATTAAAGCTTGTGGAATTTTTTCCTTAAAAGAAAATCTGGAAAATTCCGTCAAGAAGGTAAAAACACAAAAGTTAACACCATTCAAAAGCTTCTGCAACATTATCCCTGAAGAATGAATGCACATAATAAAGAGGAGATGAGTTAGCCATCCACCAAATTTCTGGCTTCACCTCTCACCTGACAGCACTCAAAAGATCTCTCTCAAACCATAAATTTGCTGCAATGAGCAACCATCATCTGGGCAGTACTTCCTCAGACAGCAAGCAAAGATAAATGTTCCTTGCTTGGTGTCTACAAGCAAAGATACCAGCAAAAAGAAACACTCTTGGCTGCATCCCTGAACAACGACCAGGTACCTCCTGGTTCACCTCCCCTCAGAAGGAAATGCCATCTCACTTGTCTTTCATCAGGAACAAGAACGGAGGGAATGCCGGTGGGTGAACAAAAAGGAATTACAAGGGCCTGCAGAAAAGGAATCTGGCTTCTTCCTTCCTAATGGGACAATGCTGCTTCCTTTGGGACTCGCAGATCCTTTTGGTGTGCTTCTGGAGATGTATTGGTGTGGCCCTTCGTACATGGATGCAAGTCACGGTCTGCAGTCTCAGTCTGAATGATCCAAGCACAAAATACTGCCTCACCTGCCTCTTGCCCTTTTGCTTTAACCTCACGCAGCAAGGTCTGTCACCAGCTCCTGCCTTACCCTGACAGGACACTGTTCTGAAGGGAAGGTGAGGAAACTCCAAAACCAGTGGAAAGTTTCCAAGTTTCCACTCAGGATTTTCATATAGCTCACCTTTTTTTTTTTTTTTTTTTTTTTGACTGCCTGCTGGTAGTTCAACATGGTCTGTGAAATCTCTGCCAAGTGTGAAGGCAACACAGCACTGCACAGCAGCACCTTGAATCGCCATCTCTCGCACACAACTGAAGGTGATGCCACCACTTGCCCGTCTAGACAGGCATTCCTGCAGTGATCACATACCTGAACTGCACAGTTCAACTGCTGTTCAAGGCTCTGAGTAGGAAAGAAGATGTCTTTTGTTTCCTGGGCTGAACTGGTTCTGCTTTGTACCAGTATTTCTCTAAAGACTGCCACAATGAAATTGACAGAAAACACACAAAAACGTTAACAATCTCCTTCTATCTTTCTAAAATCATCTAACACTCTAGTCTACATTTCATCCTAACTCGTCAGGCTTCTAGAATTGACAGAAAATAAATTTAGTGTCAAAGATCCAAAGCCAAAAAACTCTTTGCTCTCCCAAGTTGCACAAGACCCCCTACAGAGTGAAAGCATGTAGCTTCCTCTGCACATTCGAGTGCTGTGTTCAAAACTGACACTGTGCCATTGATCACAGCCCTTTGATCTTGATTGTTCAGCCAGTTTCCAAACCACCTTACTGTCGATTTCCTAGTTCACACTTTATCAGCTTGTCTACCAGGATGTTAGGGGAGACAATATCAAAATCCTTGTTAAAGTCAAGAACAAACAACTCTCTTGAGAGTTCTTGTTCTCAAGAACAAAACACTGCTTTTGCTTCATCCATCACACTAGACATCTCATTGTAAAAGGCTATCATGTTGGTCAGGCATGATTTCCCCTTCATAAAGCCATGCTGATTACTCACAATCACCTTCTTGTCTTTAATGTGTTTGGAAGTGATTTCCAGGAGAATTTGCTCCGTTACCTTCCCACAGAGAAGCAGTTGACCAGCCTGTAGTTCCCTGGACCACCTTCTTTGCCTTTCCTGAAGACAGGAATGACATTTCCTTTCCTTCAGTCCTCAGGGACCTCCCCTGATCACCATGACCTTTCAAAGGTAATCAAGAGTGGCCTTGCAATGATGTCATCCAGCTCCCTCAGCACTCATGGGTGCATGCCATCAGATCCCATGGACTTGCATATGTCCAGTTTTAATATTCCCTAACTTGATCATCCTTCACCAAGTCTTCCTTGCTCCAGATTTTCCCACTGGTGTTATGCATTTGTGACTGCTGACGGCTGGTCTTATGAGCAGAGACCCAGATGAAGACACTGGATACTCTGGTCTTTTCCTGTTCTTTGCAACCAGGTCCCCTGCCCCATCATGGGCCCCAACTAGGGCCCATATTTTCTCTAGCTGTCCTGCTGTTAACGTACTTGTAGAAACTTTTCTTCTTCTCTTTCACATCTTTTGCCAGATTCAACTCCACATGGGCTTTGGCTTTCCTAAACACAATCCTGAATGCTTGGACAGTATCTCTGTTCCTCCTGTGTCACCTGCCACTGCTTCCACCTCCTGCACACTTCCTTTTTATGGGGGAGTTTTGCTAGGAGCAACTTATTCATGCATGAAGGCCTTCAGTCATCTTTGCTTGGTTTCTTGCTTGTCAGAGTGAACCATTCCTGAGCTTAAAGGAGCTGATCCTTGAAAAGTGACCAGCTCTCCCAAAGCCCTCTTCCCCCCCAAGGCCATATCCAATCTTCCAAGCAGTTCCCTGAACAGGCCAAAGTCAGCTCTCCTGAAGTCCAGGGCTGTGATTCTACTTTTTACTTTGACCCCTCCTTTTAGGATCATGAAGTCCAACATCTCATGGTCACTGCTGCCATGGTTGCCCCTGAGCTTCATATCCCCAGTTGTTCCTACTTTATAAGTAAGAGGTCCAGAAAAGTGCCTCTCCTTGTCTGCTCCTTGGTCACCTGTGTTAGGAAGCTGTTGTCAATGGACTCCAGAAATGTCCTGGATTGCTTGCGCCCTGCTGTGTTGTCCCTCCAGCAGATATAGGGGTGCTTGAGGTTCCCCATGAGGACCAGGGCCTGCAAGCACAAGGTTTCTTCCAGGTTTTTAAAAAGGCCTAGCAGACAGCTACAACAATGACACCCATCTTAGTGTGCCCACTAATCCTGACCCACAAGCTCTCAGCAGGCTCACTACCCTTTCTTAGGCAAAGTTTCATGTGTGCCTGCTACTCACTGACATAAAGGGTGTCACCCTGTCCTTGCCATCCCTGTCTTTCCTTTCTAAAAAGCCTTTATCCATTCATGGCAGCACTCCAGTCATGTAAGCTATCCCATCACCTCACTTCAGCCCTGTTTTATTGTTTATGTAGTCTCTCCTGTTCACACCATCGTGTACCCTTTGCTTACAGCCCTGTCCACCACTTCCTCATTTGATTGTTCGTCAGATCATTTCAGGTATGTGGGATGTGGAAGAACAAACTGGCCAACTGTGTTCCCTGTGAAAAACAGTATCGAAACGTCGATGCAAAACATCTCAAGTTCACCATACGCAATGCAGCTCAGAGCCACAGCAAAGTCAAACCCAACACAATGGTTACAATCTTCCGCAATGAAAAGTACACAACTCATCAAGCCCAGGAGTAAAAAGAGCTCCTCCAAAAGAAACTCATACAACACATGGCAGGAGGCTTCCTTCAGTTCTGGAGGCTTGTGTTGCCTCCAGCATCTCCTTTGGTGGTCTCTCTGACTTTTGTGTTATCTGCTTTTTCTCTTCTGCAGACTATGGATTTTCCTTGCCAGTCAGTGCCTATCTAGAGTAGGATCCTTTCAGACCCAAGGCAACGTTGACTCACAGCTCCGGGGGAAAAAGCTCAAAGGTGTAGCCAGAAAAAATGCCAGGCATCTGCAGGGTTGCTGACCCCTGCCACATAGCCCTACAACGTGGCAGACACCATGATGGATAAAAGCTGCTGTCAGATACTCACAACAATCTCCTTAATGCAGCTGCCTAATTTGCATCACTCAGTCCTGTGATCTTTAATTCTAGCCTTTTCCTGCTCATCCTGACATCCAGCTCGCTGGTGCACAACACAAATAGCTCTGATGAGGCAAGCCTATGACAACAGTTTTATAAGAGCAGCTCCTCCAGAACATACCAAAGGTGCCAACACACTAGGCAACAGACACATCTTACAACATGAGACAGTTCCTGTCTGAAGACCTTATCGTCTCTTCAAATAGATATATCAGACAAGGACAGAGGGTCACATTTTTATCCTCCGTTTTACAGATGAGGAGCTGAATTCATGGCTAAGGTCACGGGAAGTCCTTATCAGAAAGAGGAGCCACATCCCTGCTTCTGGGATTGCTGTGATGTATCTGTCTAACAAGAACATACTCCTTGGTGAAGTAAGGTGAAAAATGCAGGACTGTACACCAAGTATAAAACCAGCTGCCCCATCCACACCCAAAAAGGTAAAAGTAATGATGTTTCCCACACATACCTCAAACTCCAGATAGTGGTCTTTCAGTTTGTAATCATCTACTTCCTTGCCTTTGAGCTTCTTGTCAGGAGGATAGGAGCGATGTTCGGCAAGCTCAGTGGAGATCTGCTTCAGCTTAGCTTCATGGGACTTCAGCTGTTCATCCTTCAGAAACACATTAGGCACTTAAGTGACAGAATCTAAAATATTCAATAAGTAAAGGAAAACAGAGATATCCCTGTACAATAATACCAAGTAACTTTTTTCCTTTCTCTCTTTCTTTCTCTCCTCCTTTCCTTTAAATAATTTTAATTAGACTGATAAGGCCTGTTATCCTAGAGCTCTGTCACCAACAGCTCTCTCAAAAGCACCCAAGCAAAGTGGCAAAGTTTGCAGAAAAACTCAGCAGCTAGCAGATGCCGCCGGGAAGGATAGCAAACCTGTCATCTCTCGCCTTGCTGAGAGCAACGGAAGCAGCCTGCTGCAGAGCATTACTGACAACATGACACTTCTGCTCTAATACATTTTTTGGTAAATTAATTAAGGCTGTTGTGTATGCAGTCAGACCAAGTGCAGAACGAGACAGGAAAAGACCCTGCCTCAGGTCTTTGCAATGTAAAAGTAGCTCCTTCCAGTATAGAAAGGACATGCAGTCAGGGTCCTTCCTTCCATTTCTGCACTACCAAATGCTCTCTGGTCTGCAGTTTCCATTTGTTCATAACAATACAACGCATCCAGAAGAGGAAGGGCTGTCTAATCCCCAAAAGGTGTCTCATTTTGCTAAGCTGCTACCAGCTTCTATCCCACTGTGCAGTTGGAGAAAGTGAGGAGCTGTTACTCCCCCTTTCTAGGCAATTTCCTTTATCAAAATCCCAGGCCCACTCACTTCCTCCAGTCCATCTGTCAGCTAACCTTCCCTCAGCTCAGAAGGTTTCCAGCTCCTGCAGCATGGCCTTCTGGCCATTTCTAGGCTTCTGAAATTATGTTTGAATTAGGGAAGTCCAAAATATAGACATGATAATGCAGTTCTCAGTGACTTAGTCAGAGTCGTAACAGCAGGTAGTACTCAGCTCAGCTCCCACCCATGTACCTAGCCTCAGAGGAGGGGATCGCTGCTGGCAGGTGTACCCCAGTCGTGTGGCTGGGCAGTTCACAGCTTCAAGCCTAGCTCGGACCTGCCTGCACTGCGCTGCGACTCACACCAGGGACTGAGCCTCTCAGCTCACTGAGCTGGAGATGCGGAAAAAAGCAGAAAGGGGGAAAACTTCTGCAGAGGATGATCGTTGAGCCCCAGCTAATCTTGTGTTTCAACTCTTTTGCAAGAGAACTGAAGAAAGAAACACGTGGGATAATTTGTCTCCGCTTATACTTGGTAGGGCTCAAACCACTCGCTATTGGCTGCCAAAAATTCTTGTTGCTGTTAGTAACTATTCTGGATCTGCTTGCTCTCTCTGTTAGTGCCCGATCACTCTTTACGTTGTGCTGAATCCCTGGTCCCAGTGACATTCTGTTGCAGTGAGTTCTACAGCCTGATGACAGGAGGTCTTTGAGCAGCTATTAATTTGGCACTTGTAATTTCCAGGGTAGCAGCCCTTTGGAGCTTTTGTGTGTGCATGCACATTCTCAGAAAAAAGGGAAAAAAACCCCAACAACCTAGTAGATCTTCTCTAGACTGGTTGTTCCTTTATATATAGCTTTGTCACATCCCTCTTTGGTTGGACTAACCAAGATCAGACACAGATCTGCTTTTGAAAGCAAACTTGGTACAATGATCTTGCACAACCTGTCAAGTCCAACCTCTCTCCCTCACCCATGTTAGGTTCTCACTGCATTCTGACTTCTGCCTGACCAGGAACAGGCCCTTTGAAGAAGTACTGTCCATCATGATTCAGCCCACAAAATCCTAAACAGCAACCACAGGGATTTGACAATTCATATTTTTTTTGTCTGCCAAATGAGAAGCAGCCTGCTGGCAGCTTTTCCACACTGACAGATAAAAGCAGACATGTTTCTTCTTGCCTTTGAATTTATCTGCTTTGAACACTTAACATTCTTCTGCCTTTAGCTAAAACAGCTTATCTTATTCCACTTTTCATGTCTCCCCTTCTTTGAGACACAGACCACAGGGCTGTGTTCTATTTTTTTCCTTTCCAGATTAAACGGAAACAATGAGACTAGGAAACAACATGCTAAATGGAATAATCGTACAGAACAACAGATGAGTAAAAAAGCTTTTTTTGGTGACTGGAGGTAAATTATTGAAGCCCCATACAGTATTTAAAAAAAGGTATGCATGAGCAAAAGGATGAGACAAGTTAGCATTATTCTGTATGAGACATGTTTGAAACTTTAACCCAGAATCAAAGATGGAAAGTCGGTCACCACACTGTGAGAAGGAAGCCTACTGCCACAGAGAGGGAAAATGCAGGGGCGACATAAAAAACCCACCCCCTTAGCAAAATGCAGATTATGAGATAGTGGTTTCTAAGGAGTGTTGCTAAGCTATGAAGATGGCAAAAAAATGCATTTAAGAAGCAATCCAGCATGGGCAGATGACTTTAAAAGCTACAGGAGGTTACTCATAAAGTATACACCTAGGATTGGGATCTATCACCTCTGCCTGACCAACGCAATCAATATCGTGTTCCTGCCAGTGCAGGAAGAATTGGAGGCATGCATCACAGCTCCCAAAGCAGACAGAGCTATGGGCGCAAGCATCAGACACAGCCAGTCTGAAACATGCAGAAGTAAGTGTTTTTTCATGCAAGAAGTAGCAGAGCTGTGACACTCCCTGCCACAGGATGTTGTGGAAGCTGAAAGCTTAAGTGATCACAAGGGAAGACCAAAGATGTTCATGTAAGAGACAGTTTATAAATACACATTAAACAGGAAATCCCTGAGCTGATAAGGGTTGGAGTCTGGAAGAGTATTGTGGGAGAATATAATTGATGCATGCCTGATGCATCAGCTTTCACCTTCTATATCACTCCAAGAAGCCAAAGACCAGGAGTATATCCATTTCTTCTGAAATGAGTGGCAATAAACACTCAAATTCAAAAAAACACCAGACAATATCTGAAATGTCCTGTGCAGAGCCATAACCATGGGATGAAAATTCTGTATCTGGTACTAGGAACAATGGCGATTATTTCTTTTCTTCAAGAATATAAAACAATTCTATTCAAGCCCACTCCTTCTCTCCTCCACTTCAAATCTTGCATCAGGAGACGAGCAGAGATTTACCGACGCAAGCCTCCTCCTCCTAGGAATGCTAGTGGCAACAGCCACAAAACAATGCCCTGGTCCACCGTCCAGTCTCCAGCCAGCTAGAGAAATTGCCATCACCTACCCTCTCTATAAAAAGAGCTCACCTGAGATAGCTTCGTTGTGGTGGCTGGCAGGAGTGGGCGACTGAACTTCTTCTGAGAGCCAATTGCTGCTGGAAATGGCGGTGCAGAGAAGACAGCAGCCACACAGTTAATCTTGTTGATCCAGGTCTGCATTTCTTCTTGACTCCTGGGGAAGAAACATGTATTAAGCACTTGTTGACTCAGCCTCCTCTACCTCTTTCCTACCCCTTCAATGGCATTTTATAAGCGAGAATAACCAGAGCTGGACAAGTCTTAGAGTCTGCTCAGTCTTCTGGTCTATCTTTGCAAGTGGCTACTGTCCGGTATCTCAGTCACAGGCTGGCTCGTGACTGCGTCCATAACTCACCCTCACACACATCTTTTCATAATCCAATCCCGATGACATAGGTGACAGAGCCAAACAATGCCTTGATATAGACATTATCTATAGTATGTAAAGTCTCAGCTGTGCTGGACACCACAGATCTCTAGGAGGTTTCACATAGAACTCAGTAGAAAAGGGCTCATACACAAGACTGATCCACAGGTTTTTAATGTCAGAAGCAAAAGGCAGGTCATCTGTTCTGTCTGGATACCACAACCTGAAGAACTTAATCAAATTATTCTTGTATTAAGTCGTAACTTTGTTTCTGACGAAAGCGTATCTTCTAGAAAGACATCCGGCTAGGACCTGATGACATCAGGGGACAGACAATCCAAGACTGCCTTTGGTCATTTGTTTCAATGATTAATCACCCTGACTGCTAAAAGTTTGTGCTTTGTTTCCAAATTGAATTTCCTGTGGCTTCAGCTTCCAGCTGCTGCATCTTGTTATGCCTTTCTCAGCTAGATTAAAAAGCCACTTAGAACCTGATGTTTCTTTCTCATGAACTACTTGTGCACTCTAATCAAATCACTACTTAATCTTATTTCTGATCAAATAAACAGATTGAACCTCTTAAGCCTCTGCTTTAACCTGTCCAGGCATGAATTTACCCCTCCTTCAGCACTGCTTGCTTTCCTCAACAACTGGCACAAATCAAGAGAGCACTTACTGGGCTTGGAAAAGCAGGACCCTCCAATCTGCTGTTTTAAGCTTGAGGACGTTGGGTTTCTTCTCATAGTCTGTTGCCTTGGATGCCAGAGCATGATGCACACTAACAGCATTCTTCAGATCTTCCTCCGACAAAGCCTTTTCTGGCTTATATTCATCCTGCGGGAGTTAATAGGCAAAAAATGGCATCTTGTTTCTCCATGTGTTACTCTTTTTTCCTTAACCTAGGGAAAAATGTTCTTCCATAGTCATGAATGGTATTAAAGTATATGAACTGAATACAACCTGACTTGAGCACTTGTGGTTTCCACTACCTTTAACATCTTTTTCTTTCTCTTTCTTTCTCTTTTTAGATCTCTTTGCGAGTGAGAGAAGTAGTTCCACTACCTGCTTGACAGGAAGAGGGTTGAACAGGAGGTATTTGACGATCACAACAGCTGTGGACTACATCTCTTCATTTCAGGAATCCTTTGTGGCCAGCTCCCCACCTCCACTGCTCAGCTGCTGGTTCCTGCTTGGGTTCTCAGCCTCCACTGCTCAACTTCTATTTTTCTCAACCAACTACCTTTGTGTGTCCCCCTAGGCAGGCCCTCACACAGTGGAGAAGCTTCCTTACCAGTTTCCACAAAGCAAATACAGCAACCTCCTTTAAATCTCTCTGCTCAGGGTCTGCAAATGGCAAGTGCAGCACCATCCAGGTTTTTGATGCAACAACAGCACCACTCCTAACACCAAATGAGAAAAACAGGGAGTTGAACTCCTCTGTGTTGCAAGCCTAGGAACAGTCTTCGATCTCCTGAGTGACAGAAGCTGGATGAGGACACGATCACAGTGTAGCCACAAGTTCAGTTTAAAGCCCACATGACTAAAAATGGCTCGGGAAAGCCAGGAGATTTTTCAAGGAAAAGTCACCTGCCAGCAGTGCTGCATATGCAAATTTTCCAAAGGAGAGTCCAAAGCAGTCTGCAACTGACTCCATTTTTCCCCCTTAGTACATCACAGAAACCAGCCTCATCTGAAACACTGACCAAGGGAGGGGGTGTGACAGCTGCAAAATGGAGGAATAATTCCATGTGGGAGTGATAACTACTGATCCCTCCACTTCAACACAAGAGTTACGAGATAGGGTTTAGCAGGCGGCAGAGTGCAGGACACCAAGCGTACACGGGGACAGCACTAGCTTACACACCCAGAGAGGCACCCGCCTCGAAGAAGAGCTGGTTAACATGTAGGAATTGCTTTACAGGGCTTATCTGGCAGCACACAGACCAGGGTTGCAGCCAGAGGCAACTACACTGCTGCCGAAGGCATCTGTGCCAGGCTGCGTTCGGTTGGGGTTCTCCAGGATGAGTTTCAATGCATAGGGAGCCACCAGCTGTGGTGACCACCTCCCAGAAGGGAGGACAAAGCATCCTGCTCCTCTAACATATCCCATCCTTCCTCACAGAGGTCCAGCTAGTGGAGGCCCAGAACTTGCTGCTGCTCAGACGATTCATTAGAGGAGATGCAGCTAACCAGCCATACTGTCGCAGCACTGCCTCCACTTGGAGCCAGACAAAGGCACAACCCACCACAGATCTGGCAGGCCTAGCAGAAAGGCAGAGCGCTGCTGCACAGATGATCAAAGGGCAGCCTTCAGCCTAAATATCTGCAACATAAGGGGGTTTCAAGGTCTGGCAGTCAGCAAAGCCAAATGTCCTTCCTCTCTCATAGCTCGAGTCCCAGCAAGCTTTGGAGGGATCTCCACATCATGATGGACTTTGCCTACTCCCACGCAGGGCACTCTCTAAACCTTCCTCAAGGAAGATTTGGGAAAGTCCCTAGCCAAAGGACAAGAACTGGAGGAGGCTGTCCAATGTTTGGCCCAGCCCCATCTTGAAGATGGAGGAAGCAAGCCCCCAGGTCAAACCCCTTCCTTCACAGGTTCAAAAGCTGATTTATTTTGTGGTAGTTTTTGGGGAAAGGACTAGCTGGTCCAGGGAGACTGGGAAAGCTTCCGGGCCAGGAAATGAACTTAGGCAGGCCTCAGAAGCGTGATATTCTGGCTTTCCTCAAATTACTGCCTAGAGATAGTGTCAGCTATTGCTTTGCCTGTTGCCTCCCAGCTTCCTCTGTGAGACGACGTATCCAACATCCACAACCCGCTCTGGTGTCTAAACCTGTTCCAGAAGAACTCCACATTTGGGCAGTCCCAGAATCAGTCCTGGCTGAGAACCCTTCCTTACTGACAGAAAGCGTTTGTGATAATCCTTGCTAATCCCACTGGATCAGCTGGCTGCAATCTACCTTGACAGCTGGGGCTCTGCCAGCTTCTCCAAAGGCACGGATCAGCATACCGGAAATGTCTCCACGTAGTTGGCCAGCCTCAGAGAAAACTGGAAGGATGTGAATGTGCTGTCAAAATTCCTCCTCTAAGGCCTCCAACTCTTTTAAAATGGCAGGGAATGCGAGGGGAGCAGGAACATTCATATCTCCTCTGCCATCAAGGACAGCACGTGCTCTGATGTGCTGGTGTCAGCACAGAGGTTGAGCTGAAATGGAAGGCAGCTCACTAAAGTTAGACCAAGACAGTGGCAAGAAATCTATGAGAAGCCAGAAAGGAACTGTGACCTCTCTATCAACTGAAGGCTGATGTGAGTGCTGCACGCAATGCAACAACATGCTGAATTCATCTCTCAGACTCCTGGAGAATGACTTTCCCACATCCTGCTGACCTGGAGTCAGCGTGTTTCTAAATCTGGTTTTGATAGACTAGAGAATGGCATTTGGCTTTTTATCAGTCACTGTACCGTGGGTGGATATCTCCACTCAGTTGCATGTGACGGCTGAAAAATTTTCTTTGAGAAAGTCTCGTCACTGAACAACTTTACATCATTCTGGTCTTTCTCTCTTTTTTTTGGTATGTTAATAGAGGAAACAGGTTTGAGAAAAGTTATATAAAAATACCTGAAAGCCTGCAAATTATAAAGTGCCACATCAAAGAGCAAAGATGTTGCAAATGTCACAGAAGAGTCCAAACAAAACACCAAGGTCCGTGTCCTGCACTGCTTGCCCAGAAGCAATTTCTAGCAAGGAATCGAGGTCAGCCTATGTCCTCTCCTTATAAAGCCTTCTTCTGTATGCACATCACATCCCACGTCAGTCTAGTGAACAGACATTTTGTCAAGCTCCTACTTTGCAATTTCCTCTTGCTATGAACAGAGGGCAGGAAATTAACCTTGGCCTAAGAATGCCCAGAGACAGGACCAACATCCCAAACATGTCAAACCTCTCATTTTATATAATACTGTGCAGGCATGTTTAGTTGGCTAATTATGAAGACTTCCACTGAGCCCCTCCGGTGGCCTCTGTGCTCACTAATTGAGAAACCATCTCTCTTAAATCAGTCATTTAAAAATAAAACAATATGCAGCACAGGACTTAGCACTGGAACAGTTCCAATGGGAAAAAAAAAGTGGGCACAGAGACAAGACTGCCCAGATAAACTCCCAAGTAAATCTCAAGTGACCACCATTTACAAACCACTCTCATACATGGACTTTGACAGCAAAATAAGGAGAACTGGACTGGTTTGCACACAGAATGACAGCAGAATTAGGATCACACTGCCCACCGGGGGAATCACAGCTGCTACAAACAATTAATATTTATATTACAGTAGTGTCTTGAGGGAACAGCTGAGTTACAGATAAACACAGAAAGCAACAGTGCAGAGGTTTGTACGTGTGTTTGTGTCTATACAGCACCTAGAACAGCAAGATTTCTTTCTCCCCTGCTTGAATAGCATTCAGTGCAATGAAACCATCATCACAGATGTCACCTCCACAGATACATAGATAACATACAGATAATGAGAGAAAAAGGGAAAATGTTTGTGTGCATATATGAATGCACCTGGCCCTATAGCACTCCGTAATCAGGAGAGAAGGCAAAGAGAGGCAAGGAAATCCTTTGCCCATGACTACTGCCAGAGCTATGCACTTCTACAAAGAAATCCAGCTGTTCTGAAATAATACTGAACTTTCTGAAATTAGGATAATTTCAGTCTCCTGGTATATTGCAAAAGGAAACAACAGCTCAGCAACTTTTACTGTAACAGCTTGGTCTCGCTGTGTATTTTAAAACCCTGGCACCCCCAACTTCTGCGATATCAAATCCCTAATAGAGCAAAGTTTATTTCAGGGCTGAAGCAAAGCTCTGCTGGACCTTCTGGAGCCAAAGAGAACTCAGGGGATGTTTCACAGCTGCAGCATGAGGCACTGTGGCTGAGCAGGGGCTCGGGGCACCCTGGGGAGGCTCACAGCTGCCCCATCACTCTGGGAATGAGTCACTTCCCATCACAGACCCCTCTGTCAACCTTTTGCAGCACTAAAGTGAAAGCCTTGCTTGTCACTGTACTACAGTAAGATGTCTTCAGTGCAACTGTCTTCAGGACCAAGTGGGAGAGTGCAGCTTTGCAGAGTAACCACCATGTAACTGCTGATGTCAAGTGCTGCGACAAGTGCAAGACACACAAATAACAAACAAATAAGAACAAGAACTCTGGCAATGCATTTTATTCTGCAAAGATGCAGTCAGATGTGAAATTACTTGCTCTCCAAAGGATGGAGGATGAGAGTGAGGAGAGCACCATTCTGTAGAAAATTTGCATGCTACATCAGCATCTCTACATTTTGTCAAACAGAAAGTGTTTTAAACTCATACGCCAACTCATAAAAGTATTTAATTAAGACTCTAAAATAGACAGCATCTCCATTTCTTTCCCTTGAAAGCTTATTAATGCCCCCTCAAAGATCAAATAAGAAATTGATTAATGTGTTATGGACAAGAAGCCTTCTTATTTCTTAGGGAACCACGCAGTCTTTTCAGTAAAGATTACTTACTTCGGAAATCAAAGCAGGTGACTCCATTTCACCCAGGAAAGGGCAAGTACCAACCTGCCATGAAGGCCACTTAAAATCTGAACCTGCTGCCAGCAAGAGGACTAGAGGGAAGGCCCAGCTGCGATTCAGCAGACTTGGTTCCAGTCTCTGGCTTTGACCTTGTCACATCCAACTTTCAGCCCACCTCTTCCATCCTGACTGCAGATTGTTTTGTCTGTTTCAGGATTTCAGCCCTCTCAAAAAGGTACTGCACCCAGAGCATTCACCTTGTAAAAGTCAAGCTGTAAGAATTTGATTGAAATCACTCTCTTCTCAGAGACTAGCCAGGTTGGCTCAATGAAACCAACAACTTCAGAAAGCCATAGCAGGGGAGGAGGAAACAGCAGCATGACCTTGAACTTGCACTCCTGATAGTTGTAAAACATAGCAGAGATGTAAAAAAGCTTCTACAATACAGGGCAGTCTGGACAAACACCATCTATTTCATGAATATTTCACTTGCAGTAGGGGGCAAAAAGCCATAACAATCTACTTAGCTGTTACCATTTATTTGATTTTGACAGTTCTCACTCATATGTTGCATTTCACGTTCCAAGAGTATAGTTAAAACTGCACTATGTTTAAACTTGCGCCAAAAGATTTGCAGGGTTTCAGCTGGCATGTTTTTTTAGACTTCTTGCTGTTAGGGAGCAAAGTTTGTTAGAAACCAGTGTCTTATTTAGCTTTGGGGGAAAAAAAAAAAGGTATCCTTTTATCCTTCAGTTTTGCTGTGGAACAGAAGCTGCAGATTCCTACCAAGGCCAAGCTGCCATTCAATTGTTTTGCAGCTGGTCTTGCAGGCATTGCAGAAAAGTATAATATGAAAAGATGGGAAAGGAGGACAGCCTTACGGGAGGGGAAGTCATACCTATGAAATGCAATGTTAAAAGCAGCCTAGAGGACTGCATGCAAGACACAGAGAGATGATGCTGTCTTTGCTGGTGAAGCTAGTTATTTTTTCAGCCATGAGTGACAGCGATGGTATAAACTGGAGTTGATAGGCTGCACATGTGGATGGGGACAATGGAACTGAACTTGAAAGTGTGAAAAGGGGGAGGGATGTCAATGAAAGGATTCATGCCTGAATGTGTGTATAAACAGGGTAAGGGGCAGAGAGAGCAGCTACACTGTGTGTCGGAGGGAAGGGAGCCTGGAGGTAGGCTGTGAGAGCAGACGGGATGCCTGCTGCTTTATCCCTCTAATTAGTTTCCAAAAGACAGTGATTTCCCCTACCTTCTGCAAGTACAGGACCGTTCCCTTCAGCACAGCATAAAAGGTTTTCCAGCCTCGCTTTCCCCGGGGAGCTGCAAAGAAAACAAATGAAAACCCATTTAGCTCGAATCCATTTTTACACTTTGTCTAGGCAACAGAAGAGCTACATTAGTCCTGTGTTAAACCTCCTTTGTACTCTTGTTTTCAAAGGACAATGCAACTCAGCACAGTGCCTGCACATACCTGCTGCGTGAGAGAGTAATAAAGCAACCCTGATGACAGCCCTGGACTGGATCAGAAGGGAACAGCAGCAACACAGAAAGCAGGCCAGAGAGATCGAGTCTTTGGGCTCTTGCAGGTAGGCAGATACTGCCTCTACACAACCAGGTCTGAGCTCTGCACCGCGGCAGTTTTCATAAGGAAACACCCTTTCTCCATGCCACAGCAGGCTGGGAGGCACTGCTGAGGACCAATGGGACACTGCTCTCAAGAGCATCCTTCCCCCTTGCCACTGCTGCACACCTGAGTTGTCTCTGAGTGGTCAGATGGCTTCTTGGTCCCCTCCTCTCTTCCTGCAGCTGCAGGGGAAGCCAAAGAAGAGCAAGGAGAGGGAAGCGAAACAAATTCCTAAGGCGAAAATAATCCTAAGGAAAAAAAAATCACCCCTCAAGAAACCTAAAGTCAGTTTGAGGTTGAAGAACGCAACAGAGACAACATATCCAGCCCACAAATTCCTAGAAACCAGCAATGGGGGAAAAAAAAGGAAAATAAAAGGAAAAAAAAGGGGATTCATCATGAAGGCTCCAGGTTTAAATTCAGCTGCAATAGAGGGAGAGAAGGCACAGGCTACACAGTCACAGTGCCTGCATCTAAGCTCACTCTCCGCCAAGCATGCACCACTGACCAGCATCCACTTGCCTCTACACTAAAATTGATAACCCATGCACAACTAAAGCATCACCCTCTGAAAGGCATCCCATTCTGATCTGAAGACAGCAAGTGATGCTGAAAAGGTTATTAGTCCCTTGCTCCAGAGGTTAATCTTTCTCATATCATGACGAACCTTATTTCTAATTAGCATTTGTTCGCTTCAGCTTCCATTCATTGGCCCCTGTTATATCCTTCCGCTCTAGACTACCTAAGTGCTTTAGCCCTTAGTACTCCTTTCCTGAGAAAATACATATAGCATGCTAGCACATCACTTCCATTAGCAATCCTGCATAAGCTGATCTCTGCCCTGTGACAACTCCATTACAAAATGAAATATGAAAACGTCTGACTAATTTTTAAAAAATGAGCTTCGTTTTGTTTGCAACTGGAAAGTCAGAATGTTACTTTTTCAAGAGTCGCATGACAACAAGAGACAGACCTCTAAGACGTACAGGAACTTCTGAAAACATGGCCCTAATTACATTGCTCACAAAAGGATTATCCTCAAAATGCCAAGATCCAGTGTGCTGAATAATGAACAATTCTGATTACTTATAATTAAAGAAATAATTTAATAAAGGCAACTAGATACAATTACTTATTAAGGTTAAATAAACAGAAGTTTAATGAAGAGGAACCTATTCAGAGCATCCAGTCATCCCAAAGAATGAGGTCAGTTTGATTTCGACATCTGTGTTTGGATTTAGTTGTCCAGCTGTCAGCCTCCAAGCTTCAATTCTACCTTCTAAAACATACTAGCAAAACATGACAACACTGAATTGCTTAGCCCAGCTAGGAGAGAATTGCAGCTACTGGAAACCCACCCCAATTGCCTTCACAATTCAGCCCAACAGTGTGAACCATGAGCAGGTGATCAGCAACAATGGTTGGGCAAAATACAGATGTTCTGAGTAGCCTCTACTGTTTCCAAGATCAACAGAAAACAAACAAATGAAGATATCCAAACAACAAAACACACACAGGCGAATCAGAAACCTTCAATAATTAGCACACCACAAACAGAAGTAGGACAAGAAGGAAAGAGGATAATTAAAGTAAGAGACACAGCAGGATTATTACAAAAAAGGGGCAGGGAGGAACTGCATGGCATAAATCTGGCTGTTACCAAAAGCTGCTGAACTTCATCAGGTATATGACCCAAGGCTGGGAAGATAGGGAAGGGAACGGTTACAGCATCTTCCAAGTAGACATAAAGAACAGCCTTTCTTTAAAGACAGACCCAGAGAGGAGAGAAGATTTGAAATAATCTGGTGTCACATAAGGAAAAGGAGAATTACCAAACTACTATGGAACAGCTACTGTAATTCACTTGAAACTGTTTTGTCTTCTGTAAACCATGAGATTAATTTTCTTTTAGCACAAAAGATTCACATTGTTTTGCTGTATCACATTACTCATTACACTTATGCATTAAAGCTGCTGCAAATGGGACTGAACATTGTAAATCCTGGCCTAATAGTAACGAGTGTGATAATCCAATTGCTGCGTTATTACTGCAATTTCCCCTAATGAAGCAGCACTATTTGCTTTGAGAAGTACACAGGCTCATCGTGAGTGGCATCATGCAGAGATAACAAGAAAATGAGATGTTAAGAGTGAAAGATACTCACTTTTCTTTCCGTCCATATCCGCATGGATTTTCCGAGCCAGAAATCCAGTTTTATACACAGCAGCATTGGGGTCATGAGGGATGTCCAGGAATGGGTTATTTGAGTTGCCAATTCGACTGACAGCCCTCGTCTGGCTCCCATTATCCTTTTCATCTGTACCATCCGAGTGAGACTTTTTTTTCTCTTCTTCATCCCTTAAGAAGCAGTAAAAACCACGCATGAATAAGGGACTGACCAGAAAAGTTTCACTGCAGTGATTCTTGCACGCTCCTTGTCAAAACATACCTCTCTCCTTATAGGTGGCCCTATTTAGAGAGAAACCTGGACATATACCAAAACACAGACAGATTATAGCAAAGCTTCAGTTCACCTACTTCAGCAGCACAGGACAGGAGCCGGATTTTCAAAAAAGCACAAGTTTCCCTTTTATAGTCTCAAAAGGCAGGATTTCAAGAGTGTTCTGTGTCCTCCAACTTCACTTATTTTTAACACCACTTATTTGAGTGCTAAAATGGGAAATATCTGCCTGCTGGGCTCTCCTGAAAAATCTCCAATTTCTTCATGAGTTCACATGTAGATGAAAAGAATTAGATTACTGCAGATCACTGTGGCTTACCCCTTAACTTAGCATACGAAACACAGACTCTACCTCCTTTCCTTTATTTTCCTCCACAGACTAGCATAAAAGTACTAATTTAAAAATAAAAACTACACTAGGTGAATTATGTTATCTGTATTTTAGAAACAAAATGCTTCTCAAAATGTTACTTATTAGAGCAATGTATTCAACACAGCTCTTGGGGACAACAATGCAACCCATTTCCGCAAGCCGCAAGCATTGCCTGACTATAAAAGCCTCTTTGCTCGTCAAAGGCAAAAAGGACCAGGCAACCTAGAAAACAAAGGGTGTCCATCACAAGAGTAGGAGGATGGTTTTCAGAGAACAACAGGCCACTGAATCTGGGTGGATGGTGTATCTGGAAGAACCACAGTTAGTGTCAGATTACAGAGCTGCCCCGCGTCCTTTGAAGTCCCCACACATTCCCCTCCAGGTGACTGGGAAAGGTGCGTCAGGGAGGATGAAGGCTGTCATTGGAAAGTCATGGTAGCAATGCTTCTCCTAAAACCAGCACCTCATTAAAAAACCAACACATTATCACTTGAGTGTAACGACGGCTAAGAGGGGTGGTGGACTTCAAGCTGCTGCATCTCGCTGGACTCAGATGATCAGCAGAGAGAGCAAGCCCAGGCAGACCTTCCAATCACATGCATATGTTCAAAGGCATGTATCAGATGAGGATTCATGAGGCATATGTCAGTCCAAAAGCTCCTTTTGGGGCACACTGCAACCATGTCTGCTTATGGCAATGACCATACAAAGAAATGTCCTCCAAGAACTGCAGGTTACAGAGACAATCTCTGTTATCCTGATCTCTGCTGAAATGATCTTCTGGGGAATAACTTAGTCTGAGGAGATACAAGGATAATAGACTGGTTTGACAACAAGGAAACCAAATCCAGAGACACAGAGGCTATATTAGTGAACCCAGCAGTGCCAGGGAATGTTCCCAGGCATTTGGCTTTAATTATCTCATGTCACTTTGTGCTTGGCATGGTCTCAGCCCAGCACACTCCGAAATAATTTCCAGACACCATTTAGGAATCAGCACAGTCAAGGATCACCACAACAGGCAGTACAGAGGGAAGCTACACATCGACATTTGGCCTTAGAGTCACACAAAGGCGCCAGACTTTTGATTTAGTGGTAGAGATATAGCCAAGGTGGTGCACCATATCTTCATGGTGTTGTCTTGCAAGGTCTCCTGATTAAGAGGAATGGAACTTTTACCTGAAGACCTGATTCCTGTAAGGGAGACCAGTCCTTGCATCTTTCAGCCTACTGATATGTGTTTTCCCACTCCAGAACAGAAAGATCTGCAAAAAAACTTTTTTGTTGGTCAAAGAAATAAGGATTCCCTCATGCATGCTTTTGTGGAAGCCCTCTCCCAATTGAAAAAGTATAGGAATTTCTGACGGTATTGATTGTCCCCACCCTTCCTGTGTTTACCACACTTACTGCTGGCAACTCTGGACCATTGTGTGACATGTGTTCCTTAGATATGTGTCCATTCCAGGAGCAAATTCTCTCAACACAAGTCTGTGGTACGTAATCCAGACTGAAATCTTTCATAGGGCACAAGCACTTGGGCTGATCTGTCACATAGAAGTGCCTTGTGAATTCTGGGATCTCAGCCAAGGACACGGTGAATTTCTCCTTGTCAGCAGAGACCTACTGCAGTAAATGGTTTAGCATTTTTTTGGAATAAGCTACCTCTTTTGGAGCTACAGGAGCAAATTATCTCATACTGATCAACTGTCCTGTGGGAATGCACCACTGCCTTTATCCAAGCAGCCACAGGTGTTGTGATGAGCAGTCCTGGGGATCTGGACATCACTAGTGCTGGGGGCAGTGCTCACAAACTCAGCATCTCTGGGGCAGCTATTAAACAGGAATTCTTCAAAAGACAAATGCAGACAGGGCAGACAAGGACAAAATGGCATCAGCTGTCATGACTGCTGGTAGCACTGAACAAACCTTTAATCGGTTCTTTAATCTGTCATTGAAAATGGGACATTCTTGAGACTCAGAAGCCTCAGGCACTTGTGAGAGCTGAGTGCTCTGACAAGATACATGAGGTCAAGATGCATGAGCCAGTCTGTAAGATGCAATGAAAGGAACCAGAGAGGCAAGGGTGACCCATTACAGAGAATGAGAAATGGATGAACAGCTAAGAAAACAGAACTAGAAGGAGCCTCTATCTGCCTCTGATCTTGAATATGAAACACTAGCGGAAACAAAACCAGGGGACCTGGGACTCACTTCTTCAAATACTCCATGTTGCTTCAGCAGTCAAGCATAAGAAGAAAGCAGGACAACTGGGAGGAGTTTCAAAGTAGGAAAACAGTTCAGGTAATAGCCTTTGCTTAGGTACCCTCCAAAGTTGGCTGAATAGGTCCTGGATAAGCTTTATCAAGGATGTAACAATTTGAGCTTACTCCTCACCAGCCTTTAGGGTACTGCTGCAAGAAGGAAGAGCTGCAGAAAATTCAGCTGGCCTCTGGACACGTACACTGGAAAACTGATCTTTGCTTGAAAGCCCAGCCTGTGAGGGATGCAACTACTTCCTCATCCTCAGATGGCTCTCACAGATGATTCAAGTCCTGTAACATCCCCAGCGTGAAGGCCTCCAGTGATGCAGGGGTGAGAGTCAGTGGGTGGTGTCTCTGTGCAGGTATGTTCAGAGCCACGGATCTAGTGTCATACAGGCAGAGCTCAGGTTCTTGTCACAGGCAGGCTTGGTGCTCCGCCCTTCCATTTGGTCCAGGAAATAGCACAATCCTTGTGCCTTTGGGGAAAAAAACCCGCATTGGTTCCAACACACCTTTCAGTAGCAAAACATCATCATGAGGGTCCACTTAAGAGATTTTCTGTCTTTGATCAGCAGAGGGAGATCATTATTCCTGGCTCTGGGTCTGGAAGCAAGTCCTCTGGTGACCCCTCTCTGACAACTGAAGTGGCTGATGGCTGTAACCCCTCTTGTAGGTCCAACTTTCCATCCACAGAAAGTGAGACCTACCAGTTCTGCAGGGTGCTGGTGAAAGGAAAAGGCTACCACCTGTAGAGTTTCTCTAAGACTGCTTACAGCATGTGATATTTCCAAGGTTTCCCAAAACAAGGACCTTCAGTTCCACCTCCCTTAGCTTGTCTCTTTGGAAAAGGACCTCTGGACAGAGCAATAACCAGGGCACTGACTGCCCATGAAAACCAGCACACCAAAGCCAGGATTTGCTTGCTCTCGCACTTGAAGACAGAGCATTGAAACAGCAATGATTTCCTTCCCAAATATGTAATCACTGACAACCAGAAAGAGTTTGCCTCTTATTCTTAAAACGGCAGATTTGAAAAACTTGCAAAAATGCAGACGTTGCCATTTTGGTGAAGAAATATATTTTTGCCTCTCCCCAAAAAGACCATATATAAGAAAGTCTCATTTTTGTCTTCTGGGAGAAAAACACCATCCATTTCTCACAGTAACAAAAACATTTCTGTATGCTCTATGGTCTCATTTGAGGCTCTGCCTTGGAAAACTTCGAAGTCACTAAACTGGAAAGACAGGGTCAAGCCCTTCATTTTTAAAAGTCTGTTTCATTTCTGCATTTGTTCAAATAGAAAACTTATATGATATGGCAAAAGGCTGGGTTTATCCATTTAAAAAGTGGCATTTAAAAAAACCACTCAGATTTGTAACACATAATTATACGAATCTGTGGAACTGATAGCGTCTGTATTAGAAAACTGACTTGAGAAACCAGTGGAGAGAAGTTTTGGCATCTTTCCCAAAGGGAGGAGAGAAGAAAGGAGAGCCAGGTGATTACGACAGGAACTCCTCTCTAAAACCAATCACGAAGTTGCAAACAGAAAACATCCTAGAACTTGAGAGATGAAGAGTTAATTATAACGGGTAGAGATTGACCTAGAAAAAGGTGAGTTTCAGCACAGACATCTTTATAACCACCTCGGTTTCAGCATCACAGTTTGCCACAGGAAACACACAAAGGATTTCGCAGTGGCTCTTTCCCACCATCACTGTCTCAAAGACCTATTTTGGTTTGGCTGGAAGGAGATGATTTTTCAGTGCAGTCCAGAAAACAAAAAAGAATACACCATGTCCCTGTCTAAACTTCTCTGGAAAGAAAACTGTATCATCAACTAGTCAAAAACCAAGTGATTCTCCTGAAAACTACGCTGTCCTGCTGAGAGAAAGCTTTCAGGATAAAACTGGCTCAAATGTACCCATTTGGCTTTTGCAGTTTTGTAAGCAGTACTTTGGGATTTCATATGTTAATTCTAGACCACCATTCAGCCTGTTTTAAGACGATGATTTTATTATTCCTATCACCTTCAACAGGAAGTAGACATACTATTACAAACAATGGAGAACAATAACGTTCACCACCACATTTCCACATAGACATCATGCAAACAAAGCATATTTAGCTCTGGCGCCTTTGGAATCAAATTAATTTTTCTTACTCGGCTTAAAGCTGACGATGACCCGTGCAAATGTCAAAGGATGAGAAACATCTACAAAACCTGGGCCATAATATTACAGACAAACAGACTAAGGGATGTTAAGAGGTCAGTGAATCCATCTCTTTACCTCTAAGGCTGGATCCACTCTTCCTAACCTATTCTGGGCAGAATAACCAGTTCACAAAAACCTCCAGTGAAAGAACTTCCATAGCTCATCCAGCAAACCTATGCCCTGGTTTAAAAGGCTTATTGCTAGAAAGCTTTTTTAATATTGACCCAAACTTCCCTTGTTTCAAATTTAAGCCAATCCATAATGGGTGTGAAGAATAATTTACACCCTTCTCCTCTGCGACAGCCTCTACACACTGAAAAAAATACACTCAGGTCCCTCTCCTCAGTGCTCCCTTTTCCAACTAAACAAACCCAACTCTTTTAATCTCACCACTGATGTTCACAGGATCGTGAATTCATTTCATCTTACAGGTGATGTCACAGCTGAAGAACAAGAGTTTACACTTCAAGTATGAAAGAATCTCATGGAAATACCAAGTTCCTCATGGAAATTTAAGCAGTATGAGAAATTATGACACAATTACTGGGGCTACATGCACTTTTGGGGTGGTTCCCATGACCCCAGCACACAGTAAACAGGACGCATTGGACTAACTGGATGAAACAGTACGTGGCTTCACTGCAGTCAGTAGGAACTTCTGCCAATGACTTCAGTGAGAGCTGATCACTACTTAGTGCTTCCCTTGCTGTTCAAAGAAAGGAAACACAGTCCAAGAGATCTAGAACTGTAAGCAGTAGAGAGGAAATATGGAATGGGACAAAAGACAGAATAATCGTATTTCTGATGGCTAGTTTTCCCATACTGCTTATGCTGGGTTTTGCAGTCCTATTTCCACTTTTGCCTTACCTCCCACTTCTTCCCCAGCCAACTGCATCAGGGAAGCAAAGGGATACTCTCTGGAAAGAGGATCTTTCTCAGTCCCATCACAGCAAACCAACCATGTCCTTTCCCTATCCAACTTTCTCTGCAGATCACGACAGCAGAGCTAGAAAGTGATCTGCCTCCTCCCTCTAGCTCAGGCAGTCCTGGGGCTCCTTGGGGGGATTACTTTACATCAACCACACATCTCTGTAAAAGTGGAGAGACATCTTCACACTCCCTCTTCCAGCCATCACTCTCAGTCTTAAAGGTAAAGGCACAACCTCTTTGACTATGCCCCAAATGAGCTTTGTTTCTCAGCATGGAAAGTAATTGTCACATCAGTCCCACCTATCTGTCAGAGTTTCAGATTGGAATGGACAATTGGCCCCTTTGAGCATCCTGCTGGGAGAAGGTGGCTTTACACTCACATCCCAAAGCCTTATTTAAGGAGGATTCTGATTTCTCACTCTTCCAGCCTGCTTGCAATTTTTCCCCAAACAATTCATTAGCAAAGGATATGGACTGAACTATGAAAATGCCAAAGCAGTTACTACCTATACAGGAGCAAGCTATCTCATAAATCACCTTGACTGAAGCTCATGGGAGCAGAAGCAGGGATGAGCCAGTTCCCACCTGCAGGCTCCTCAAGTGTAATAGACATGGTATGGTCTCTTCACAAGAGCTGGAGGAAAACTGTGACATCGAGAAAGTCACATAATGGATTCTGATGGGTCTAAAGTACCTGTGAGAGAGTGACTTGCAGACAGCTCTGGCGTTGTGACACGTAAGATTCACACAGCGTATTCCAGGTCCTAGATTCGGTCTGGGAAAATGTATCCCACTGTGCTTCTTATAAGGTTTATCAGAGATAGCACTTCTTGGTGATTCCCACTAGCAGCACACCTTCCTCACATCTCTGACATTATCTAACACACTTCTGAACAAGGGCTGCAATCCCAGTTGGGACCAGCAGCCCTTGTAAGTGGGGCTGCACACCCTGACAAGAAATTCATTTGCAGATGATGAACTTAAGCCAAGGAGGACCAGAAGCCAATGGGCCTGCAAAACCTATGGTAGTTGTTAGGACTTCTAGCACAAAAGGTGCAAGAGCATGCATCCCAGACATACATTGCCCTGAAGAAGGTGAGGTTTCAGATATGTAAATCCATTCAGGTAAGCATCTTGTACAGCCAAAATAGATAAAAGACATCATTCTCTTATTTTACACCAAAATCCACTGTTTTGCAAGCAGTAAAATCTAAAGCAGAACCTTTTACTCTTTGCTGGCATATTGAGACCACGTGAAACCTAAGCACAGAAAAATGTCAATTTAACACAATCAGAAATTGAAGCTCTTTCTTGTCTGCACTATTTCCACAGTTAACAAGTGTTAGCCTGTTGAAAGCAGCTAAGGATGGGGGGATATCAGACTTTCTCCAATTTATCATCTTTCATATTAGGCTGTTGTCAAGTTATCCATAGTTAATCAGGAGACAAACCAAGACAATAAAGCAACAGCAGGAAACTCAATCCAAGACGTGTGTTTCTATTCAGTGGTTCTGACACAATGTAACGAAAGATAAAGGCAGAAGTCAACTTCTGTTTTATTTATGCAGTCATAGGACAATGGAGGATTTAATTTCTCTCTTTTCAGGCTGAAGTTTCCTACTAAATGAAACGTCCTCTTTCCTTACAAATGCAGTTGGCTCCTATCATTAACAACTCCCCTTGCTGGAGAAAAAGATGAGGCAGTATTGCCAGGTCATTCATTAACAGAAAAGCAAACTCATGACGTACACTGGCTATCTTCTACAGGCTTTGGAGCCCGCTCAGATGGTGACACAGGACACATAAACAGATTACTACACAGGTACTATTTTTAAACTCCTAATTTCTATGCAGTATACTTACACTGCCCATTCCAGCTTCTCATTCTTGATTGAATTGTAGAGGGCCTGCAAAGGGAGAGAAATGAGATCAGATTATTCTTTGACCTCTGCTACACATACATTAATACGCTGAGGAAAATCACCTAACTAATACCAGCAAGTGAGCTGTCTCTGATCAAGGAAGTACCATATCTGCCCATGGTAATGCAAAAGTCTTAAGCAGAAATCTCATCTAAGGAAAAAATATCAGAATATAGGGTTTGAGATTAGTCATTTTCTCAAGCAGGTTTGGGGTTTTGTGGTTTTGTGGTTTTTTAAATAAGCCTGTTAAGTTTGCAAAAGCCACAAGACTACAACCTTGAAATTCAAGGTCCAATTTAATTCCTGACAGTCACATTTTTTTGTCACTGACTTTAATGGGGCCAAGATTTCACCATATGGGCTTACCTGTAAAACTATGCCAGGACAGCTATCCAAAGCCCCCTGAGCCTCACAGACACCTGAACGCTTTCCCAGTCACACACCCAAAGATAAACGTGTTTGTTTCTAAGCACAAAACAGAAAATGAAGGGTAAGCAGCTTTCGTGCTTGAAGATCAATGTCTTGGACTGCGGTCTGCTAACATTGTTTACTGTTTCAATTCATAGGAAAGATGCCAGTAGGTTTGACACCAAAGGTCACAATTCTGTTGTTGATACCAGCCTGCACAGAAAAGGGTCTGGAGGCTGACTTACACCTGGGTGGGTATCAGACAGTTGGGATGGATTTCTTTTGAGGGGGAGTAGGTACATCACTTGGATAAGCGTGTCTGATTTCAGCCCTCCAGTAGCTGATGCATACAATGGATAAACACCTGCTATTACTACAAGTTAAGGGAGTTCTTCAAATAGGCCACTTGACTCAAGTGAAGTATTTTGGTATGGAATGTCCCTGATTCTCGCACTTATAATCCACATTTGTAATTTACCTTATATACATAGCTAGATTTACTCCCTCTGGCACATAACTCCTACACAGCCTCAAAATATGTTAACGTGTAGAAGAACTGTTGATGCACATGATTACCAAAAAGTAGCACATCAAGTATGAACAAGCCTGAAAATCACATACTATAATAGCTATGACACACTTAACAGAAACATTAGATTTAAAGAGCCTTAACTCTGACCGAAAACAAAAATAATTTGGAAAACTGAAGAATTGAAACTAGTCTTGTGCATATCTCACAACTGAACTTGCAACGAGAATTCAATGAGCATATCCCACTGCTCATCCTGTGATCCACTGACTCCTTTCCAAATCTTGCAGTCTCTTTGAAGATCCTTAATATTCAGCTTGGTGAAAATCTGGCTTGACTGAACCATACAAAAGCAGGTCAAACAACTGGTACAACTCACCTCACACTGATGCTACACATACGGCAACTTTTAGTCACAGTGTACCATAAAAGTAGGTTTCTCAGAGCATGAGAACAGCTATGACCACCAGGAGGAATCATCCCACATCCTACTTATACTAAGCTAGCAGACAGAGGTCCCCACCGCTAACAGGGCTTTGCTGTGCTACTCACAGCAATATGGTGAAATATTTCCGACTCTGGAGTTTTCACTGTCTATTTCTATATATGCTATCTTCTCCAAACTTGTATAAGAAACTCGGATACAAATACAAACAGCCAAAGGTGAAGGAAAGGGCATTGCTGGCAGCTTGTAAGCACTTTGCTTAATTTTCAAGTGAGAGCTATCAAAAGATTTTAAGACCACCCTGCAGGAAGAAAGCAAAAGAAAGGGCTAACATTTCTCCTAACATGCAGCCAGCAGTCCAGCAGAATTAGACACGCCTCCATTTTTCTGCACAAGCTGATGCTGACACTGATTCCCTGAGGTCACCAATATTTTCTTTTAGAAGCCATTATGGTTTTAATTATTTGGCCCAAATCCCCCTCTTATTCTTTGACTTGTCCTTTACTTCCTACTATGATTAAAATATCCTCTTACATTTTGAGCCAGAAAACTAATTCTAAATACAAGGCAAAGAGGCTGCATTTTTTCCCCGACTGCCTCCCCATTTTTTCAGAAGCAGTATTTTTTTCCCCAGCTGGTTGGATGAGCTTTTGAAACATAGCAAAAACCTGGCCTGGGGTATCAGAAACACCTTCTGCTGGTCTCTGGCCCAAATGCCCACAAGATTGGGTCACAACATCTGAAAATGAACACCTGCCCTGTGCAATACTACTTTTTATGGCATTTTGCTGCTAAGGAAGTCTCTGGGGATCGCTACAGCCAAAGAGCAGGACACACAAAAGCAGCACTCCAGATTGGTGCGGGAACAACAAATGCCCCAGGCTTTTTTGCCTTGTGGAAAGTGACATGTGTTTGTCCTGATCTTTACTAATGAGCCAGACTCCATCTTCCTTCTTTAGGGAGTAACAGACACCAACCCAGTCATATGGTGTACGTCTGATGAAGGACACAATGTCCCCCATACAGCATCAAATATAGCCTCTCAGAAAGCCTCTCCTATTTACAAAAACGAAATAAAATCCTAGAGAGTACCCACAGCATGGGCAGGCGTATACAGGCCATGTTTGGTGTGACTACCGAGAGTGTTCAGTGAGACCTCAGTGAGTAGATCTCTCAAGGGATGGAGATACACGAGTTCTAATGTCTGCCCCCCGACTCACCTCTTTGGCAGAGACTGCTGCCAGGCTGCTCACTCGCCGCTGGACTCACCAGCCTTTTACACCTGCTTTATGTTCCTTCTCCAAAGCAATTTACACTTTAACATTTTCCTGATGTCTACTGGGCTCTCGCATGATCTGGAGAAGAAAAATTCCCTCCTCCCATGTTTTACAACCAGTAGCAGACGTGTACAGCCCAGCACCTGCTCTATCATTTATTTCATGGCTGTTTCCCAAGGCCCTGATTCAGACAGCAGCTCTTTTCAGCAGACATTTCTCCAGAGCATGATTAAATCAAACAAACTTGGAGACAAGCACTTAAATGCTTCACTAAATTGCAAAAAAGCTGATCAGAGATTACAGCAGGGACGTGACTTTCACCGTACTTAACTAGCTGCAACAACAGGATTTATTAACTCATGTTTTCTCTCTGGGAAATGGGGGAAAAAAAAAAAAAAAAGCTCTGATTTAAAGCACTCTTACAGTTTGACAACAATCACACACCACAGCTTCTTACCTGCTAGCCTGGGAAGCACTTGGCAAATTTGCTATCTAACCCAGAAAACTGGAGGCTGGACCACAGCAGGGAATGCCAGAATGAATACTGCATGGGACTCATCTTCCAAGCTGGACCGATACCACTTGGAAAGGGGGAGAGACTTTCTCTTTTGGCACCCAGGGCTACTGTAGGCAGGATCCAAACCCCCAGCTACTGACTGCTCAGCAGTGTCCAACTTCACTGCTTCAACTCTTAAAGCTCTATTACCCAGACCGCAAAAACCTGCTCCTTACAGCCTTCCGCCTTCTGAAAATTGCTGATCTCTGGGGTCCACCACGCTTGAGGCCCAGCACTGCTCTAAGCTCCCTGGAGAAACAAATGCAGTTTTGAAGGGAGAATAAAACAGAATAGCAGGCAACATCCTAGACAGTTTCCTTATTTTAACAGCAGTGCTGTTTCCTACAGATTCAATTTGACTCTTAGCGGACCGCAGTGTAAAAAACAATGAGATTTATTATGTGTTTGTGGGATTTGTTTGTATTTGTTTGTAAACTAGGCAAGAAACTTATACTTTCTTTTTAAAGTGGAAGCCTGTAACTCTGTAACAAGCTGCTGAATTCCATCCTCATTTTCCCTTTGGTAAGCAGGTAGTTCAACTAAAAATCCAGATTTTCAAAACCTCTCAGCAGTTGGTACTTTTATTCCAATTAGAAAGAGACGCAAAATTATGCGGGTAGTGCTTCTGAAAACTCCCGTTTATTTTACAAAGCTGCCAAGAAAAAAAGGTCACTTAGCATCCTCGCCTCCCTCAAAACCTTGTCACATGCACGAACCATTGGACCCATTTAAACAGGCTGC